GCATCAAATCTATTCTTCAGATAGTCTCTAAATTCAGAAGGGGTATAATCAAAGTCATATTTTGGCTCTCCTGAACTTGTTTTAATTGTCTTCAGCTTCATCTTGAACTTACGTATGAGCACTTGATAGTGTGTCCCACAGTCAGCTCCTGGCCTTGCTTTGGCTGAAGATATTGAGCTTCTCCATCACCTCTTGCTACAGATGTAGTCAATCTGATTCTTGTGTACTCCATCTGGCGAAGTCCACTTGTATAGCTGCTGTTGAAAAAAGGTATCTGCAATGAATAAGTCATTGGTCTTGCAAAATTCTATCTATCGTGCAATCTCCAGTGTTATTTCTATCACCAAGGCCATATTTTCCAACTACCAGTGATTCTTCTTTGTTTCCAACTTTTGCATTCCAGTCACCAATGAATAGCAACACATCTTGATGCCATGTTTATTCAATTTCAGACTGTAGAAGTTGGTAAAAATATTCAATTTCCTCATCTTTGGCTTTGGTGGTTGGCATGTACATTTGAATAATAGTAGTAGTAACTGATGTTCCTTGTAGGTGTATGGATATTATCCTATCACTGGCAACACTGTACTTCAGCAGAGATCTTGAAACATTCTTTGTAACGATGAATGCCACTCCATTCCTCTCCAATTTCTCATTCCTGGCATAGTAGATCATATGGTTGTCTGATTCAAAATGGCTAAAACCATTCCATTTTAACTCACTAATGCCTAGGACATCGATCTTTATGTGTTTTATATCATTTTTGACAACTTCCAATTTTCCTAGATTCATCCTTCATATATTCCATATTCCGATTATTAATGGATGTTTGCAGCTATTTCTTCTCATGTTGAGTCATGCCACATCAGCAAATGGAGGTCCCAAAAGCTCTACTCAATCCACATCATTAAGGTCAGCTCTACTCTAAGGAGGCAGCTCTTCCTCAGTCTCATTTGACCTTTCACCTGAGGGGCTCATCTTCCAGCACTGCATCAGACAATGTTTCAGAGCTATTCATAAAGTTTTCTAGTAACATATTGCAGTGTAGTAAATTACCTGGTATGCCTTTTCTAGCCATAAGTCTTTGTAAACTCCATGGTGGGATTGGCCATGAACAACTAAGTAGCTCCTGACTGTTAGTTATCCACCTGGGGTATTTCTGTTGGGAGCAGCACAAAGTAATTTTCTGGGAAGTTCACTCTCTCTCAGGTGTATGGAATTTGGATGTTGGGACTAGTTAGTTTGGGCACTCTGCCAGGCTCAAAAGGAGTCCTTCTAGAGGCAGAAGGGGGTCTCTTTCTCTCTGACTGCTAGCTGAGAAAGACATGCATCTGAGAGAAACGTGCTCCTGAGAGACACGCACTGCTGAAAAAGAGACACCGAGACACACATTGCTGGGAGAGACTGAGAAAGACTGCTGGCTGAGAGACAGAGGGCTCAGAGGGACTGAGCATTTTTCCTGAACTTGAATTGTAGCCTGGTGCTTCCCTAATAAACCCCATAATCTGTGAGTTCTGTGTGGTCACTGCAGTGAATTATCAAACCCAGCAGGGAGGTGGTGGGTGCTGTGGGAGGAACAGTTGGTGTCAGGGCTGGAAGGAGGTGGCATGTCTGGCCTTGCAGTGATAGGCCTTGGGCTACTAATGGTGATTCTGTCTTCCTCTTGTGGGGTTAGAGGAAGTCAGAAGATGCAGCCTCCCTGCCTCTTTGGCACATATCAGACAGTATTTCACTGCTATTTATAAGGTTTTCCCTGGCTTATTCTTTGAGAAGTGGATGGCCCCTTCCTTCTTCCAAGTCTGTCATAGTCTAGAAGCTCCACTGAAACCTGTCCACCATGGGTGACCCTGCTGGTATTTGATATATCGGTGGCATAGCCTCCAGCCATACAGCACACTCAAGCCACCACAGTATGACAAACTGACAGATGAGTGGTGGTCACTATGCCTACTATGAGGTTATTATTTTCTCCACTTAACTGATGAAAAAACAGAGGTTCAGACAAGCTTAATAATACACCCACCGTGGCACACCTGATAGGTCCTGGAGTCTGAGAATGAACCCAGATATCCTTGCCTCCAAGGCCTGTGTTCTTTTTACTGTAACACCACAGTCCTGCAGAAGTGAAAATACTAAGTATAAAACCTGTTCCTTTGTTTTACTCAGGTTGTGATGATGAACCTGATGCTTGACTTCATTGAGCCACATTTGTAAATGAGGACAACAATTACACCGATCTATGTGATTAAATAGGAGCTCTGGTGGCATACTGCCTAAGGCATTTGACTGCTAACCAGAGGGCTGGCAGTTCAAACCCACCAGCCACTCCTCAGAAGGAAGGTTGTGCAATCTACTTCCATAGTGATACTGCCTCAGAATCCTAATGAGGGGTTGTTATGAGTCAGATCCAATTCCACTTCAGTGGTTGTGTTGCATTTACATTATACGATTAAATGGGAGTCCTGGTGGCCTAGTTCCTAAGGCATTTGACTGCTAACCAGAAAACTGGCAGTTCAAACCCACCAGCCACTCCTTGGAAGGAAGATTGGGCAATCTACTCCCATAGGGATACTGCCTCAGAAACCCAAGGAGGGGTCACCATGAATCAGATCCAATGCCATAGCAGTGAGTTTGTTTTTGTTTTGTTTTGTTTTTTAATGATTAAATAGGAGTCCCTGGGTGGTTAAGCATTTGACTACTAACAAAAAGACTGGCAGTTAAAACCCTCCCAAAGTCACCTCAGAAGAAGTCTAGTGATGTGCTTCTGAAAGGAGCACATTTCTACTCTATGCACAAGGGGTTGCCATGAGTCATAATCAACTCTTGGCAAATGATTAAAAATCATTATATGATTTAAAGGAATTATATTCATAATTTAACATTGTGCCTAGTATATTGAGAATGTTCAATAAATGAAAGCTCTTTTATCTATTATTTTCATTTTAGAGGTGAGAATACCTGTGAGAGTTGATTAATTTCTTCATACTCTAAAGCTATCAAAGGCTGAATTCTGGATTCAAGGCAAGACATAGGAAATACCAAAGTTCATTCCTGCCTCTTCCATTTTAACCCAAGAAAATAAAGAGGGAGATGGGAATGCATTAGCAAAAGCATGAGTTGGGATAGGAAGAATTGGTGTTAGGAGGATTGGTATTAGGAAGTGCAGTGACATAAAATTTTAGCCACCAGCTTAGAGGATAGGGTTGTGACTGTCAAGATGGGCACTCTGGGCTTCAACTCAACATTATGCATGGGATACCTACCAGCTATAAACAGTGCCTGGGCTGGCAGTGGTGATAACACTCATGGACTTTGCCCTCCTCTCTCTGACCCAACCTTCAACCACTGGGGCAGTGGGTTATGTATTGCCCTGGAAGGTGACTAAGATTTAAGGACCTGCTACAGCATGTGTCATCCAAGAAATGAAGGCAGGCTCAGGAAGGCCTGAGCTTCATCACCCTCACAGCAACCTGTGTTGGGTTCTTTTATTATGTCCATTACTTGGAAGATGAAACTAAAGTGCAATCAGAGTTGATGTGACTTGTCCAAGATCACACAGCTATAGCAGGACTAGGGTTTCAATGCAGGTCAATCTGACTCCAAGGCCAGTGTTCTTTTCTCCTGTTGTTGGATGAGCCTATTGGCTTCTGGAAGGCATGGATGTAATAGCTTAATGATACAATAGGTTACCCATGGCTTGAGGTTGACGAGGCACTGAAGGAAGACAACTGGTTGGGGCAGGTTGAGGGCCTGGGCCAGGACTGATTAGACGGATGGTCTTAAAATAGAACTGGGGAGAAGGGATGGGAGAGACATGGGTCTGGGGACACAGAGAACCCTGAGATCAGCCCTGCATCTGCCCCATCTTTGCTCTGGGCCGGTCTGTCTGTCTGTCTACACCCTCTGCCCAAAGAAAGAACTATGGGTTAATCTTGGCCAAAGACATCTGGCTAGAGTCCCCACTCAGCCATTGACTAGTTCTGTGACACGGGGCAAGTCACTTCACCTCTTGAGCCTCATTTTCCCTGTCTGTGAAGTGGTCACCATATCATTCTGTTCTCATGGTTGTCTTGAGCAGTGAATGGAAGTAGTGTGCAGGCCATTCCCTCACACAGAGGCAAGCACAGAGCAGGCTCTTGGCACACAGTATATCCCAGCATGCTCTGGGTCACCAAGCCCTCGTCATCACCAACCCCTCCCTGGGAATCAGCTCCGACCTTGTCAGAAAATAGGCCAGCTGTCAACCTCACCCCAGCTGTCCAGTTAATGAGTGACCTGGGTGCTGGAGCCTGGCCTATAAGGAGCAGCTAGCTGAGAGAGCAGGTGGGAGCCGAGTGGACAGCGGCAGTGGGAACACAAAAGAGCAGAATGGGTGGCACAATGGTGTCAGGGCTCCTGACAGGGGTGGCTGTAGTCCTCCTGGTGCTGCTGCAGGGCACACAGTCAGTCTACATCAAGGTAAGTTGCTTGGGCCAGCTTGCCCTTTGCCTGAAGGTCCCCAAGGTGGGGGCACTTGGCTCAAGAGAGGTTGCTGTGAAATGCACGGGGAGCAGGGGTCTCACATAGTGCAGTGCTCAGCCTAATACCCAAGCACACCCCAAGAACCAAGACAGCTGGTGGGTGGTAGCAGCTGGAATGCCAACAGCAATAATGATGGTGATGACAATAATAAACTGCTGTTTACTGAGCACTGCTCTACAAAGATCGGCCTCATCACAGAGGTCAGAGTGAGGAATAAGATGAGGGCCCTGCCTTTGATGAGCCACATGGGGAGGAGATTCCCTTTTATGCTCCAGCAGCTCAGCCAAGTTGAGGGAGATAGTCACCACAAAAAGTTTCCATAGGCAGTAACTCTGGAGTTGCCTTTCTCCCTATGAGAAAAGCTGAGGGAGTCAGGAACAAAGGATGGAAAAACAGTCCCAGGAATCTTGGAAGCAGGGCCTGTGTGGTTAAGAGGGTACTGTTTCTCCAAGCTTGGCAGGTAAGCATGTGACCCTGAGCAAGTCTCCCTCCAGCACTGGAAGTCACATTCCTGACTATGGCAGGCCTCCAGAAAAGGAGAGAAGGGGATCCTGAGAGAGATCAGCTTCGCACTAATCCCTGGGCTTGGGGCTCAGCCACCTTGGGGGCATCATCATGTTGCTATGTTGGCTGAAGGGGAACACACTGGGTTCCTGGGACTGTGTGGAAACTTGATTGACCCTCACAATATCCAGGGAGGAATGAAGTATGATGATCTTCATTTATCCAATGAGGAAGCTGAGGCTCAGAGTGGACAAGACACAGGCAACCATTTGAGACAGAGCTGGGATTCCAATCAGGATCTGCCTGTCTCTAAAGCCCATACATAAAACCACTGAGCCCCACAGACCTGATCCTACTTCATCTAGTGGTTAGCAGGGTCTGTGGCACAATGATGTGTGTCTGGGAGAGGAAAACAGATGCCACCACCCCAAAACCCTAGGGAGGTCTTTCAATTTGGCCTATCCTTTCCAGGAGAACAGGGAAAAGTGTAGAGGATCTTCAGGCCCCAGGAATCCTAGGTCCCGTGGTAGAGCCTGCTCCAGGCCCAGGTTTAGATACCATCCCACCCCTTCCCATCTCCCCCACCTAGTACCAAGACTTCCAGGTCCAGCTGGAATCGGTGAAGAAACTGAGTGACCTAGAGAAGCAGCAGGTTCCCAGCCCCAACCTGCAGGCCCAGAACCTCCTGCCCTCTGTGTGCCAACACCCAGCCCTGCCCCTGGACCTCCGGCCCATCTGTGCCTCCAAGAAAGCTGCTACCATCTTCAGGGCCTTGAGTAAGTGTCCCCTACCCCTGCTGGCTTTCCTACTTGGCACTGAGGGAGAAGGACAGAGCCCCAGCATGTCCTCCCAATCCTTGACCATTTTCCATCTCCTCCTCCAACCCAACTCCTCCACCTCATCTCGTTACTATTGAGCAACTAGTGGCTAAGGACAGAGAGAGTCAAGAAACTCAGCCTCTGCCCTCCCTAGGACTTTCCTGCTCTTAGCACTTAGTGCCAGCTGAACCTAGAACTCTACCTCAAGAACTTCACTAATGGGAAGAACAGGGTACAGGGAAAGACCCATAAACAGTGACTACAATACAGTGGGGTGAGAGGGAGAATCCCATGGAAACACAGAGAACAGGTGGCATGTATGTGAGTGGGACAGGAACTCTCTAAATGATTCCAAGAAGAAGTATCATCTAGGCTGAAATGAGAGGGACAGGGCAGCTTTGGCCAGGAGCTATTAGTTAGCATTTACCAAACATTTATTATGTGATGTTTCTACACCCATATTTGTATGTGCTTTAAGAATGTTCAGGTGTGTAGTAGAGCTGACAGGGGACAGGTTGTGATGGCTTCTTGGCCACAGCCAGCTACCCAGAGGGGGAAAGTAGTTGGACCTTTAGGCTCAGAACCATGGTCACAGGGGACATCAAGCTCAATTGGCGTAACATGCTGCACAAAAACACTGTTCTACATCCTACTTTGGTGAGTAACGACTGGAATCATAAAAGCTTGCAAGCAGCCATGTAGATGCAATGATGGGTCTCTCCTCATCCAGAGCAAAGAAGAATGAAGGAAACCAAAGACACAATTAGTCCAAGGGACTAGTAGACCATGTGATCCTCAACCTATATGACCATGAGACCAGAAGAACTAGATGGTGCCTAGCTACCACCGTCAACCAATCAGAGGGGGATCAGTGCAGGAGATCCTGGATAGAGTGGGAGAAAAATATAGAACAAAATTAAAAATCATTAAAAAAAGAAGAGAGATCAGGTTTGCTGGTCTGATAGAGACTGGTGAGACCCCTGAGACTATGGCCCCTAGCTACTCTTCAGGTCTGGAACTGAACTTACTCCTGTGGCTTCCAGCCAAACAATAGATAGTCATATGGCATGATCATCAGGTAGTGTATCTACCTCTCAAACACGGGCAAACCGAAGGGCAGTGTTTGCACAGAGAGGTAGTTTGAAGGGCAGGAGTTCATGGGAGAAAAGGACACAGGAAGGAAATGGGAAGAGACTTGTTACATTGCAGGGAATTGCAGTCAATGTCATGAAACAAGCACTTATTATATGCATTCTCTCCTTGCAACAAACCTGTCAGGTTGATACTCTTTTCTCTCCATTTAACAGGAATAATTCAGACACTGAGAACTTAAGCGATTTTGACCAGTCACCACTAGTTAAGAGAGGATTTGGAACTTGAACCCTCTAAGTCTTCTTCTAAAGTTTCAGGCTCTTAGCATGTAAAGAGGATGCCTGGGTGACTACCCAGGCACTCTTCTAAGTAGTCCTCTCTGGCTGCCTAGTTTCAGGTTCACTGACTGTTTCTCTCCCCCTGCCTAGAAACCATCGCTAGTGATGATTGTGAGCTGTGTGTGAATGTAGCCTGTACTGGCTGCCGCTGACAAGATCCTGGATGCCCTGACCCCACATTGGGCACTCCTCCAACCCAAGCCCACTGCCTCCCACCCCGTTGAAGCACAGATGAGGGCCACTGGCCACCATGGTCATCTCCAATCTCCTACAGCCAAGAAAGCTGAACCAGATACAAAAAAAATTGGACACATGGGCTGAGGAAAATTTGGCCCCTGGAACATCTCTGCTGCTGAATAAATATTTCACACACAAAGACTTGTGTCCATTTGTTCATCCCTTGAGCTAAGGGTGGTGCTTCTGGGAAGCTGTGTATGCTGGGGAGAAAGGTAGGCTAATAATACTTGTCAGTAAATTCCCTGAAGTTTCCATAACCTGGGGAGTTGATTCATTTCACATATGCAGAAGAACAGAGTCCGGGCAAAGCAATGAACACCCAAGGTCACAAAGAGAAGAAATTCAAGAGCTTCCTGGATCCAGCTGACATCCAAGCTGACCTCAAGTCCTGCTCCAGCTGCAAAGCAAGACCTTCTGTCTTCTGATCTAGGGCAGGAAGGCTTCTTGGAGGAGATAGGGATGGAGGAGTGGCTGGAGGTTTGGAGCCCAACCCTCCCAAGCAGATCATCAGGGCTGACTCTGCCCAAGGCCTGTCTGAGAAAATGGTTCCTTTGCCTTCTCCCTCAGCTCCCTGAGCCCCTGCCTTCTCCTCAGCACCCAGGGGACCATCCATTGCCCCATCCACTCTGACCACCTCCTATTCCTTCTCTCAGCCCATGCACCTGGGTGCCCTGAGGAATAATGACAATAACAGCCAACGCTTATTAAGCATCTGCTCTGTCCTTGTCACTATTCTAGGCATTTTGAACATATTAAGTCCCTACACTAGCCAAGATTTTACTGCCTCTCTGAAGGTCAAGGTAGCAGTGTAGACATCAACAAAGCTAGAGGGATGAGTGTTCTGATGGGTTAAGAGAATGAAGGCAACACCTGGAGCATTCTGGAATCTGCTTTATTAGCTGAGGCTTGAGTTGGATCCTGGAAGCATCTGTCAACTCAGATGGTGGAGGGGCTGGGCTTCCACTCACCAGCCCTGCCCAGGCTGTGCCTCTCTTTCCTCACACCCTCCATTCTGGAGCAAGGTAGGTTGAGCTGCTGGGAGTGAAAGTATCATGGGTAACCCTTGGGCAGAAGACACAAGTTTCTTGAGGGAAGGGAAGAGGCAACGAGGTCCATGGTGGCCCAAGCATCTGGCACAGGCAGCGAAGGCACAGATCTCACAAGTGCTTGGGTCCTCAGCAATGG